ATAGCACTAAATGCCCGCAGGAGAAAGCAGGAAAGATCTAAAATCGACAGCCTAACATCACAATTAAAAGAACTAGAGAAGCAAGAGCAAACAAATTCAAAAGCTAGCAGAAGACAAGAAATAACTAAGATCAGAGTAGAACTGAAGGAGAGAGAGAGATGAAAAACCCTTCAAAAAATCAATGAATCTAGGAGCTGGTTTTTTGAAAAGATCAACAAAATAGATAGACCACTAGCCAGACTGATAAAGAAGAAAAGAGACAAGAATCAAGTAGGCACAATCAGAGAATACTATAGACGCATCAGAGAATACTACAAACACCTCTACACAAATAAACTAGAAAATCTAGAAGAAATGGATAAATTCCTGGACACATACACTCTCTTAAGACTAAACCAGTAAGAAGTGGAATCCCTGAAGAGAGCAATAACAAGTTCTGAAATTGAGGCAGTAATTAATAGCCTCCCAACCAAAAAAAGCCCAGGACCAGACAGATTCACAGCTGAATTCTATCAGAGGTACAAAGAGGAGCTGGTACCATTCCTTCCAAAACTATTCTAAACAATAGAAAAAAGAGGGAATCCTCCCTAACTCATTTTATTAGGCCAGCATCATCCTGATATCAAAACCTGGCAAAGACACAACAAAAAAAGAAAATTTCAGGCCAATATCCCTGATGAACATTGATGCCAAAATTCTCAATAAAATACTGGCAAACCAAATCCAGCAGCACATCAAAAAGCTTATCTACCACCATCAAGTCAGCTTCATCCCTGGGATGCAAGGTTAGTTCAACATATGCAAATCAATAAATGTAATCCATCACATAAACAGAACCAATGACAAAACCACATTATTATCTCAATAGATGCAGAAAAGGCCTTCAATAAAATTCAACACCCCTTCATGCTAAAAACTCTCCATAAACTAGGTACTGATGGAACGTATCTCAAAATAATAACAGCTATTGATGAGAAACCCACAGCCAATATCATACTGAATGGGCAAAATCTAGAAGCATTCCCTTTGAAAACCAGCACAAGACAAGGATGCCCTCTCTCACCACTCCTGTTCAACATAGTATTGGAAGTTCTGGCCAGGGCAATCAGGCAATAGAAAGAAATAAAGCATATTCAGATAGGAAGAGAGGAAGTCAACTTGTCTATTTTTGCAGATGACATGATTGTATATTTAGAAAACCCCATCGTCTCTGCCCAAAATCTCCTTAAGCTGATAAACAACTTCTGCAAAGTCTCAGAAAACAAAATCAGTATGCAAAAATCAAAAGCATTCCTATACACCAATAACAGACAAACAGAGAAGCAAATCATGAGTGAACTCCCATTCACAAATGCTACAAAGAGAATAAAATACCTAAGAATACAACTTACAAGGGATGTGAAGAACCTGTTCAAGGAGAACTACAAGGAAATAAGAGAGGACACAAACAAATGGAAAAACATTCCATGCTCATGGATAGGAAGAATGAATATCGTGAAAATGACCATACTGCCCAAAATAATTTATAGATTCAATCCTATCCCCATCAAGCTACCATTGACTTTATTCACTGAATTAGAAAAAAACTACTTTAAATTTCATATGGAACCAAAAAAGAGCCCATGTAACCAAGACAATCCTAAGCAAAAATAAAAAAGCTGGAGGCATCACACTACCTGACTTCAAACTATACTACAAGTCTCCAGTAACCAAAACAGCATAGTGCTGGTACCAAAACAGATATATAGACAAATGGAACAGAACACAGGCTTCAGAAATAACATCACAGGTCTACAACCATCTGATCTTTGACAAACGTGACAAAAACAAGCAATGGGGAAAGGATTCCCTATTTAATAAATGGTGTTGGGAAAACTGGCTAGCCATATGCAGAGAACTGGACCCATTCCTTACACCTTATACAAAAGTAAACTCAAGATGAATGAAAGACCTAAATGTAAGACCTAAAACCGTAAAAACCCTAGAAGAAAACCTAGGCAATACCATTCAGGACATAGGCATAGGCAAAGGCTTCATGACTAAAACACCAAAAGCAATGGCAACAAAAGCCAAAATTGACAAATGGGATCTAATTAAACTAAAGAGCTTCTGCACAGCAAAATAAACTATCATCAGAGTGAACTGGCAACCTACAGAACAGGAGAAAATGTTTGCAATCTATCCATCTGACAAAGGGTTAATATCCAGAATCTACAAAGAACTTAAACAAATTTACAAGAAGAAAACAACCCCATCAAAAAGTGGGTGAAGGATATGAACAGATACTTCTCAAAAGAAGACATTTATGCGGCCAACAGACATATGAAAAAAAAAAAGCTCATCATTACTGGTCATTAGAGAAATGCAAATAAAAACCACAATGAGATGAGATACCATCTAATCCCAGTTAGAATGGTGATCATTAAAAAGTCAGGAAACAACAGATGACTTGAGATGATGTGGAGAAATAGGAATGTTTTTACACTGCTGGTGGGAGTGTAAATTAGTTCAACCATTGTGGAAGACAGTGTGGCAATTCCTCAAAGATCTAGAACCAGAAATACCATTTGACCCAGAAATCCCCTTACTGGGTATATACCTAAAGGATTATTAATCATTCTACTATAAAGACACATGCATACATATGTTTATTGCAGCACTGTTCACAATAGCAAAGACTTGGAACAAACCCAAATGCCCATAAATGATAGACTGGATAAAGAAAATGTGGCACATACACAGGATGGAATACTGTGCAGCCATAAAAAGGATGAGTTCATGTGCTTTGCAGGGACGTGGATGAAGCTGGAAGCCATCATTCTCAGCAAACTAACACAAGAACAGAAAACCAAACACTGCGTGTTCTCACTCATAAGTGGGAGTTGAACAATGAGAACACATGGACACAGGGAGGGGAACATCACACACCCTGGCCTGTTGGGGGCTTGGGGGCTAGGGGAGGGATATTAGGAGAAATATCTCACTGTGCACATGTACCCTAGAACTTAAAGTATAGTTAAAAAAAAAAAAAAAAGAAGAAGAAATACCAAGTGTAAATGACAGGTTGATGGGTAAAGCAAACCACCATGGCATGTGTATACCTATGTAACAAACCTGCACGTTTTGCACACGTATCCCAGAACTTAAAGTATAATAAACAAAATTTTTTTTAAAAAGCTCCACTGATGCTAAGCTGCCGTTATTAAAAAAATTATAAGCCATACATGAGGAAGGGTCAGGAGACACATTAAATAGATGAATTGATATCCCTAAAGAATAAAGAAGAATTTGAAAAACACTATAGGTATTTTTAAATAATGAAGGAGAAAAATAAAGAAACAAAACCATAATGAAAGAATTACATACTCTGAGAACACCTAAAGGTTAGTCGCTTATTCAAGAGTAAGTGTCCCAGAGTAAGTGGGATTCAGTTATGAGACAAAGGCGAGGGGGATATCTTGGTGACATAACCATTAAGTGGTGCAGATGGCTCCCTAAGCTTGTGCTCTTACTTGCTGGACTGCAGGTGCTGATGTAGATTTGAAGAGTCTATTGGACATTCCAGTGCAGCAGCAAAAGTGGGTTTAGAGAAATGTAGAGAATGCTAGGTCTCACCATATTTTTCCCCCACACCTCTACAGGACATCGGGACTGGGCACTTCCTTCCAACATGGCCGCCACTGCCTCTCCACAGCCACTCACCACTGAGGATGCGGGTCCTGAGAATAGCAGCTTCTATTACTATGACTACCTGGATGAGGTGACCTTCATGCTCTGCAGGAAGGATGCAGTGGTGTCCTTTGGCAAAGTCTTCCTGCCAGTCTTCTATAGCCTGATTTTTGTGTTGGGCCTGAGCGGGAACCTCCTTCTTCTCATGGTCTTGCTCCGGTACGTGCCTCGCAGGCAGATGACTGAGGTCTATCTGCTGAATCTGGCCATCTCCAACCTTCTGTTTCTGGTGACACTGCCCTTCTGGGGCATCTCCGTGGCCTGGCATTGGGTCTTTGGGAGTTTCTTGTGCAAGATGGTGAGCACTCTTTATACTACTAACTTTTACAGTGGCATCTTTTTCATTAGCTGCATGAGCCTGGACAAGTACCTGGAGATCGTTCATGCTCAGCCCTACCACAGGCTGCGAACCCGGGCCAAGAGCCTGCTCCTTGCTACCATAGTCTGGGCTGTGTCCCTGGCCGTCTCCATCCCTGATATGGTCTTTGTACAGACACATGAAAATCCCAAGGGTGTGTGGAACTGCCACGCAGATTTCGGCGGGCATGGGACCATTTGGAAGCTCTTCCTCCGCTTCCAGCAGAACCTCCTAGGGTTTCTCCTTCCACTCCTTGTCATGATCTTCTTCTATGCCCGTATTGGTTGTGTCTTGATGAGGCTGAGGCCCCCAGGCCAGGGCCGGGCTCTAAAAATAGCTGCAGCCTTGGTGGTGGCCTTCTTCGTGCTATGGTTCCCATACAATCTCACCTTGTTTCTGCATACACTGTTGGACCTGCAAGTATTCGGGAACTGTAAGGTCAGCCAGCATCTAGACTACGCACTCCAGGTGACAGAGAGCATCGCCTTCCTTCACTGCTGCTTTTCACCCATCCTGTATGCCTTCTCCAGTCGCCGCTTCCGCCAGTACCTGAAGGCTTTCCTGGCCGCTGTGCTTGGATGGCACCTGGCACCTGGCACTGCCCAGGCCCCATTATCCAACTGTTCTGACAGCAGCATACTTACTGCCCAAGAAGAAATGACTGGCATGAATGACCTTGGGGAGAGGCAGTCTGAGAACTCCCCTAACAAGGAGGATGTGGGGAATAAATCAGCCTGAGTGACCAAACCTCAGTCTGATGGGAATAGATGGGAACCAGCTCAATTGGGCATCCACTCAAAGTGCTGTCTCCAGGGGCCTCAGTGACCGTGTTGCTAAACCCAGTGGTCAGTTCTCAGTTCTCAACCATCAGCAGCATTTGCTCGCCCCTGCCTTCTTCCTCTACTTTCTTCACTTGCTTCCAGGACACCGCGCTTTCTTCTCTGAATTCCTACAATGATCCTTCCTTCCTTCCTTCCTTCCTTCCTTCCTTCCTTCCTTCCTTCCTTCCTT